CCGGACTAGGTGCGTTCCAATAAGTCTTGCTACCAATATGACCATGTTGCGAAAACAAGGTCAAACAACCTCTATACAACGAAAGAGACTGCGACCACACAAAAGGCCACACCATCTTGGTCTTCATACCTTCTATACTTTTATATTTATACGTCTTTTCATTATGTTAAAGGAAATAGCTGAATAATTCATTGGCGTTTTTTGCATCCTAATATAATAAAGGATATATAATCAATGTTACCCCTTAAATACCAATAATATATGGTCTGGTCCTATGTAAGTTTCATAAGGTTTTTCAACCTAGAATGGCATATGGTCTACGTATGCTTTAAATTAAAGATAGCCCGTACTCAGCCTATCGGGCCCCCGAAGCTAATGGGACTATACCCCTTGCGTACATCTGCGTATATGGCTTATATTTTCACACTATTTGACCTCCACAGATGTCACATTTTCACTCTTGCCATTGGACGCGCACTAGGTTTCGAATACCATTGCTTCCTTGATTTCACTTAGCTGCTAAGCCCCAATCTTAACCTTTTGTGGCAGAAATACCTCATTGGTTCTGTTTAAGCCATGTTCTGTCAGTCTATTCCATTCTTGTTACGACTATCCCTCCAAAGCACTTTTCATTTGCTCGTCTTTTACAGTACATATAGCTTGGAACATAACACTTCAAGCTTTGAAGCCAGCTTGCCAAACCCAACTTGATAATTGGCCTTGTCCTGAACCTCGTCGCGTTCTTTTTTAATGTTAAGGCCACTGCTGCTTCAACTGATAATCACACAACTTGCCAGTAATCCGTTACCTGAACCTTTATTTCCTTCATAGGTTGTCCCAGCTACAGCTTTCTTTCAAGTTACCAGCATATATCTGCAATTTTCATGACAATGCATCCTTTGTTCAAACTGGACCCCACTAATTAAGCAGCTTTACATTTCAAATAAATGCTCTCCCCACTGGCTAAAATGGCGTCTATTTTGTTTCTGTCAAATAAATATTCCAATCCATATTATTGAAATTTATCTGGTATTATTTCTTTTAGGTTCTCACTGATTCCGACTCTGAAGGAGACTCCTGCAATCCACCAGCCCCTCCTTTACCACCCGTGATAGGACCAAATCCAGCCAATGAAAATGGTAGTTCAGATGTGATGTCTTATGTATCACCACTTACAACGACCACTGGTGGCAACGAATACGCTGGAAGCAGTCTAACCGCTTTAATGGATTCACAATTTCCACGAAAGCAGTCCAATTCCGATTCCCACCTCAAGGCTGCTTCTGCATCTTCAAAACATTCCATCTACCTCGCCCAGGCTACTCCTTCCAGGGAATCAGATCTTGCCCCAACTTTCTCGTCACACCCACCCCCATTTGCGCCTGCCCTGCCTTCACTAGCGGTCTCCAACCCCCCGCTCATTATGCCGCCTCAGCAATATCCTTTTCAATTTAACACTACTATATACGGACCTCATCAGGCCCCAGCTGGAGCCCATCCGAATCCTTCTGTGAGCAATTTGCTATCTGGAACTCAGATTCCTGCAGCAGCGTCGGGTACCTACGATTCGAGTTCTGGGGCAAACCATGTCTTTCTTTCCTTTGAATGACCAGAACTACCAAGCCAGAGCATAAACCATATAGCTAATTTCTTCCGGTATTATAGCCTACATAATTCTTGCACATAAGCATGATAAAATCCATCTGATTGTGGCAATAATGGTGACTAGATCTACTTGACAATAAAGTGGTTGTCAGGACTAATTAATTAAAGTGTCTCCACATATATTTGATGATATTGAAACTAATTAGTGTTGGGTTAACTACCTCTTCCTTTCTGGATAGTGGAATAAACTATAGGTTTAATTCCTTACAGCATCCAATTTCTTCACATTGATATTTTATCATTTTAAACCGGGGGAAATCCAAGTATCATCTTTGTGAAAGGAAAACTGACGCGACCAATAGCTTAACAAGCATTCGTGTTGGCTGATTGTTTTATTGCATTTTTGTTGAATATGACTTGTCTGATTGATAGGACATAATTTTATATACATTGAAATCCGGAAAATGCTATTAAATTTGTTTATATCTACATATAAAAGTGTAAAACTCAAAGATAGATCTAACCCGTACCTACTAGCTGATATCAAATCCCATTAAGGGGTTTTATTTACACATAGTTGAGTCTGACCCTGGTCAGAGAACTTTTTGGAAAGCTAAGTTAAATTTTGGCCTACCCATATCAGAGATGGAAAACCCAATCGTTATTCCAATTGTAACCAATTAAGAATTTAGAACAGCCGATCATCATTGTCTGATCCGCACACTAGCATTTAGCAGGAAATTTATAAAACAAGTATACATAGTTATATTTAGCGAATGGCTGAATAACACACGGCTTGATATTAAATATAACCAGGAGTGAGATCCAGTTAATGAAATAATCGTGTAAGTTTAAGGATTTAGGTCGAAGATATGAAGACCAAGATGGTGTGACCTTTTGTATGGTTGCAGGCTCCAGGTAACATTGCAGGATCAAAAGCGTAAGTGTTTTAGGGAAGGATGCAGCTGTTCGGTTTCAATTGCATCCATTTCCCCTTCATCTGTAGCCACTTAACATGCAATCCTCAGCCACTCAACTTAACTTATGGGCAAATATAGAGACTTAACATAGGACCTCCAACCAAAACTTGAGATGCATAAGTGGATCAAATTGGAATATAAGACGAAACTAGGTTTTAAGAGACCACCTTTCTTGCCTTCGTGTTATGGTGAATTATCATTAACCATGGTGTCCTTCTCTGACGATGTCCGTCAAATGACGGACTAAAGATCAACAAGGATTGATATGAGTCGCAGGGTGGTGCGCCAGTACCTATTCGCAAAAATCTACAACCACAGCTCCAAGACAACTATCATTGATTTATTTGCGGTCGTTTATAGCAAGTTTGCCTGAGCATAAAAACTAACATGGCGTAAGCAAATAACGGTCAAACGAGCAACAAATTATGAAGGCTTAGTTATTCTGGATGTAGTTTAATCACGAAGAAAAGTTGGATTTCGAGGAATTTCTGAGCTTCTATTTCGATGAATGAATTCGAAGGTCGATCCCTTTAGAAGACGATGGCGGATTCCTCTCGACCAGCTGTTCACTGGCTTTACTTAAACATTTTTGCTCTTTTTTAGATAATCTCATTATATTCCATTGAAAACGTACTAAGCCTTTGTCTGTCGTATGACGAGCATTATCAGTGCAGTGTATCGTACTTACAATCAAATTCAAGCTTAATTAAATCTATCGAAATATCCTTAATACTGAGCTAGACCATTTTTCCTATAAAATAGTTGACACTTCACTTAGTCCTGACTATCACGTTATTCCTTATGTAAATATGGATATTAACCTAGGCTAAAGAGTTTGTTTGGGGAGAAATGATTGAGTCGAGACAGGACCCATCACGTGGGGCTTAGCCATCAATCTTTGAAATTGCGCTAGTATGCGCAGTATTGTGAAAAAACATATGGAAGAAGCATTAAAGGCCAGCTGTCTAATTCTTATTTGTGATTGTAGTCCCTTAAAATCCGTTCAATTCTTAAATGATTTAGGGAAAATATATATTGTACTTAAGTGCATATCAGTAACAGAATATGATACAAATGATGATCAAAGTGCTCTTAGAGCAAAGTTTTGTATGAAGAGCCTAGTACAAGAAAGGCCCATACATTATGCTTTACTGTGCCCCGAAAGACCAGATCGAGAATGGCCTCGCGAGGGGT